AGTAATGCAAGGGTGATAACTAACCATGAGCACCAACAGAAACGACCACGTACCAGCCTGTGTGTGTCTGTGTGTGTGCATGTGTGTATATGAATGACTGGATCCCCTTCCTGGTGCAGAGATGCTTCCCAGTGATTTGCAGTAGAACCCCGTAGAGGTCTTTCTTTGGCTTTGAGATGTCACTGTCCTGCTGGGCTGTTTCAAGTCTTCAAATGCAAGCAGCAGGATGGGAGCAGACATCCACTTCTGTGATGGGTATGCTCCAACCTTACTCCTATTTATGGTGCAGCTGCAGCATCCCAGCAGAGCTGTCCCTCCTCAGGCTATTAGCAGAGTGTGTCGGAACATATCCAGCCCACCTCTGCCTCTCAGACCCATAACCTCCTCCTTCCTTATCCTACTGATGTACACTCAGCTTTTGGTACCTCCCTAAGCTGTTAGCACCAAGCAAGCATGAGAGGCTTGCTAAGGATGGAATTTGGGGCACAGGAGGGGGAAAAAAATAAGAGTACTCATGATAGTATGGAGGAGTATTTGGAGCCCAGCTAATGCAATTCCATCCCGTTCAGCTTCTTTCCAGTCTCCCAGCGTTTGTCAGGGAGCTAAGATAAATCTTGTTCCTTCTGGACAGGTCTGGTTTTTAATCAGGGTATTTCTGGTGTTCTGTTGATTCAGTAGATTGAAATCTGCAGTACTTAGACTCCAAGGCAAATCTTGCCTGACCTCAGATAGAAAGAAGGAAAGGAGGAATGAGTCAGCTGGAGTCCCTGGCCCCCAGCATAAAGTGGAGGCAGCTAAACAGAGAATGATATCTCAAAGCCTGGACCGGCTTAGTCATATGAACAGGGCAGAGCTGTCACATCTCCCACCTTGTGCAAGACCCATGCATCTGAGCTGCCTCCTCCTTACTCATCACCATGAGCTCGCTCATCAAACAGCTTGTGGTTGAAATGTTGTGACCGGATAAAGGACCAGGGGAGAGCTCTTTGTTCTCTATCTGAATTAGTTATGCTTTTTTGAATCCCTTCCTTTGAGCATATTTTGTAAGCGCTTTTAGACACTTGGGAGAACAGGATCTCCCAATAAGCTGGTGTTTATTCACTCAGACAATATTAATTCTCTTTCTTCCACTAGTTCTAATGGAGCTTGAAGTTAACATGTCATTAGGGTGGTTTGGTTCTCTGTTTTTACTCTGCTTGTGTTTCCTACCAACACAATGAGCTCTGGGCTGAATAAGCAAAGGTGCCAGAGGCAAAGCAGCAGCCAGAGGCTGTTCCAGTGAGTCTAGGAAAAGGTCTGTTAGCCAAGTGCCATAGCTGCTCACATAGCCCACTAAGGAGCTCACTGCAAAACTGTAATGGGTTTAAGATATCCAGAGTGACTTGAAACAGTTAATGCTGTGTTAGTGCTTTCTATTGCCAACCTTGCTGTATGATGCAATCAATCTCGGCCGCCACTGTCTGCTATAAATAGCACACTCAGGATGGATCAGCTGGAGTTGCAGTTATCATTTTGGATGCATCCTGATCAAAAATGTCTCCAGTCCTCAGCTGGGCTGGCAAGATGCTGTTGTTTCACAGCTCAGTGCGGAATCAATGACCAACAGTCTGTGGCATGAGCCTCAAACCTGCCTGCCCAAGCTGCCCCAGTGGGATATGTGGTACAGCTCTTGGTCTGCTGAACTTCATTCACTCCTCTTTCGTGCTTATCTTAGCCTTTGAGTGTCAGAGTACATAAGTTCAGACCTCACTGGAAGTGAATCAAGGGCTGGAAATAGACCTCCAGTGGGGGTGAGACTGCGTGCTGACTCAGAGAGGCTGCAGCAGCTAGCTAAATTAGGAGGCAAATGCTCTGCTTTTGCATGTCTAGGATGAGTAATCCTCAAAGTTATGACTTGGAGGGAACTGTAGCAACTCGGCCCTGAATGTAAAGCTGCCTGTTAGGAGAATGCTTTAGCAACCATATGTCATGTGCTGCCCTTAGCTGAGAGCTGAGCATCTCTCCTCCAGGGATTCTTTGCCCTGGATGTATCCAAGACTAAACTTAGCATGGTGTTGCATAAATGGTAAGCTGTGAGTGGTCAGTGCTTCCTTATCTAGCCTATACCAAGTTGCCCCCATTTTAATACTCGGTCATGGTTTCCTCTAACAGGAGATGAAACAAGAGACAATAAACCCAGTGGAGGAGAACCAGAAAAAGCAGGAAACCCATGGTGTTGGCTCTGCAGTATGGGCTGTTACAGACTTTGATATGCTGCCTGGGAGTTCACTGCTTAAAGCAAATAATAGTGGTTTTCCTGAGCAGTGAACTGTTGAAGCAATATATCTGAGAAGTCCAGGCTGTTTTATTGCAGGCTGGGGCACTGGAGAAGGTTTTAGAAAGCAGCTGGATTACAAAGAGAGCAAACAGTGAGACTAAGTACTCTCTGAAGCCAGTGCTGGCAGACTGACCCAGCCAAAGCATGTGTTTCTGCTTGTCTCTTGCATAAATAATGGTCTTTTGCTTAGCAACAAGTCCAGAGGACACAGGGTAAGTTAACCTGTAGTGGTGTTACAAAGGTTGTGATGGGTTGCTCTTTATTTTCCTTTGGGTTCCAGCAAGATGCTATAGCTGAGAGTTCTGCACACAGGGTTCACATGATGTCAAAGTATGAAGTGACTTGGCCACAGCTTCAGCTGGATAATTAGAATTAATAAATAGTACATACTGTGCCCTCACAAATAAAGGCACAGATGAGGAAAACATATGCCTGTTGATTAGTTAAATGAAAGCTCTGTCTAATGAAGCCTACTTCTCTGTAATCCACTTCTTGGAAGCCTGTTTAGGATTATTAAACCTTACATGGCATTTTTTAGGGGTTAAAGTGTGACAATCTAATAGGAGTTTAAGGAGATGTTTTTCTCTAAGACATCTGAAAATAGATGGAGGACAGAATGCCCTGAACCTGTGTGAACTCTCTGCATATCCCCTGGAGTGAGCAGTTCTTCTGAGCTCTGTGCTACTTTAGTGTTAGAGAATATCAATATCCATGGAAAAGATGAGTTAGGTGTAAGTATCCCTGACAGAGGTTGGGGTGTTCACTGTCCTGCCCAACAACAAACCTGCTCCAGGCTGTAACCAGAGAACCAGTTATTCCGACCATATGTGAATGGCTAAATGGAAGTGAGTGCACAGGTGTACTACTGTCTTGAAGTCAGAGGTTCAGGATGTGAATCCAAAGGGAACAATGTGATTATTCCGATTCCTGGTAATCTTGGCAGTCATTCTGGGAAAGAGGAGGCTCTCACAGCTTCTGGTTAACTTGGTTTTGCCTCTTCTGCAACTTCAAATGCAAGTTTGGAATGAAGTCCAGAGCCAAGTGATGTGGCACGTGCCATCGGGTGCCTTCCTTCACTGCTGTGCCAACCATTTTCGTTTCCTGTACTAAACACTAGACCCTGCTGATGGATCCCTCAAGAGAACTCAAAGCAAATCCTAAGCAGCATCAGAGGCTGGTGTCAGATCTTGACCGTGATCACTGAAACAATGACAGCTCTGGAGTGCAACTTGCTCTTGGTAGAACTGCACAAAGTTCAAGGATGGAAACTTGCTTGGTTTGGCTCTATCCATCTCCTCAACACCCACAAGTTTCTTGGGAAGGGCTGCCACATCTTCAGTTTTGCATCCTGGCTGGAACTTCCACAGGTAAGTTTGCCTCAGCCACCAAGAAGTGCCTTCAGCAGCACAGCACCTCCTGTTGTTGTGTGATAACCCAGTGTTTTCCAAGGAGAGCACCCATTACTACAGCTTCAGCATCCTTTTCTATGCTGATCCTGCTTTTTCTTTAATTCCTATTGATGCCTCCTGCTATCAAAAGAGATTTCTAGCAACTTTATACAGGCAAATAGACAACCTCCTCCCCAACACTATAGCTGGTTTAAAAACTACTTGGTATTGTTAAATTATGCTTTAAAATTTCCTTAAGGGAACCATACACTTTTAAAAGGCAACTCTTTCAGACAGGAAAAGGTGTCCTGACACGAGACTATCAAGTCATGTTCATGTTCAATGCATCAGAAAACAAAACTTAAGTAAATTCCTTATTGCTGCAAATTACCCTTTGAAGGTGTTATTTTCATATATATAATGAAGTGCAAGGTGTATGATTTGGGTTTGGGTTTTATTATTTAGGCTATGAAATAAAAACCAGGCTTCAGAATCTTATTTTTGTTATATCAAGGTTACAATGTAAGCCAATAAACAGTTTTGAAGAAACTTACACAGTCATCTGCAGATCTTGTATCTCCAAACAGGTAACAGTGAAGAAACACTACACCAATGTGTTTAGGCATGTTTCTGGGAGTGGTAAACATGTAATGTGATAATTGTTCTGCTTTACAAGTTAAATATAGATAAATGCTTCTGTTCTGCTATAAAACCTACAACAGGACACTATGTAAAACCTGATCAAAAGATAAACCAGAAAGAAACAACCAGAAAAGGCAGGACTTAAGGCAGCTTTTGCCCATTTAACTGCTCAGAGACTCTTCAAACATTGCTTAAGTATGTATTTTTACTATTATTTCATTAGAGATCTCTTGTTGCCACATTTAGACAAGTCTAGTGGAAATCTTTCAAGGGCTGGGAAAGTGTTACGGTGTAATGCTGGGATGGAGCACTGCTCTATCTCCTCCAGCCTTCTTCTGTGCTGCAACATGAGCGGCTAGAGCAGATGGATGGATTGTGGGTTGGTCCTGCTGCAGGGAGGGGAAGATGGCATTTATTAGAAGAAGGGGAGTATCTTTTCCCTTTGGTCTCACAGACTAGTGCAGCTTCCTCGCTGCTAGCAGCAGTCCTCATGAGGGACTCAAGCCTTTTTCCTTGTATTACATCCTTGCAGAGTTTCTGTGAATTCCTGGTCCTAAGGGGTTAACGCAGCCTCGGTCTGTAGCCATACCCATTAAAAAAAATCCAGGTGCCCCCCAGTTCTTTGACCACACTCGGTGACTTTCTCCAGCCCTGTCCTGGACCTGATCCCTGCCGGTCGTGAGATGCGGTGGCCCGGGACCCTTCCCGAGCACCGACGTCCGGCATATGTGCGCAGTACCTGGACCCGCGCTCGCCTCATCCCTTGAGGACGCAGTCCGGGGGGCTGCCTGCCACACCGGGGAGGAATGGGGGGAGCTGAGCCGACACCGTGCCGGCCCTTGCTGGCAGCGCAGTGCTCAGGACCCCCGAGAACCGCCCGCCGCAGGCTACGGGCCCCCCCGCACGGAGCGGCCGGAGCGGGTGCGCGTCCTGCGTGCGCTGCCCGGCGCGGCGGGTGCTCCGCAGCCCAGCGAGAGTTAACGGCGGAGCCGCCTCTCCATTGGCGGCCGGCGGAGCGGCTGCGGAGCCCGCGTTTATAACCGGCGCACGGGACGCCGCAGCCCTCCGCCGGCACCGCGGCTCGGCTCCATGCCGCGGCGGCCGGCATGTCCAGCCTGCTGCCGCCCTTCCTCGCCCTGCTCTGCCTCGGGGCGCCGGCGCCCGCCCTGAAGGCACCGCCCGCCGCGGGGCCAGACGGGTCCGGGTCGGAAGAGCCGTGGTGCCCCTACAAGGTGGGGGCCGAGGGAGCTGCGGACGGGCGGCTGTGCTTCCGCACGCCGGCCCGCGGCTTCCAGTGCCAGGCGCGGGCCTGCCGCGCACACCGCTCTCCCAGCGGCGCGCTGGTGGCCAACGTGCTGCGCAACGGCAGCGTGCTGCTGCAGTGGGGGCCGCCGCGCCCCGCCGCCGGCCTCCGCGGCTTCGCGCTCAACTGCTCCTGGGACGGCACCTACACGCGTTTCCCCTGCGACAGCGTGGAGCTGGGCGCCGCCTGCCGCGACTACCTGCTGCCCGAGGCGCACGGCAGCGTGCGCTACCGCCTCTGCCTGCAGCCGCGCTACGCGCCGCCGCGCCCCGCGCCGCCCGCACAGTGCGTGGAGTTCCGCGTGGAGCCGGCCGCCATGCGGGACATCGTCGTCGCCATGACGGCCGTGGGGGGCTCCATCTGCGTCATGCTCGTCTTCATCTGCCTCCTGGTGGCCTACATCACCGAGAACCTCATGAGCCCGGCGCTGGCCGGGGCCCCGGCCGCCGCTCCGCGCCGCGCTTAGCCCCGCAGCGCTGCACGGGAGCGGAGCGGCTCTCCTTGGAGCTCGTCCAGGGGACGGGGGGACCGGGAGGGGGTGTATGTGTGTGTGTGGCTCCAAACTGCTCTCGCAGCCAGGGCTTTCCTATCCCAAACTTGCAGGATTTGGGTTTTCTTCGCTGTTCGGAGCTTTCCTTCCTCGCAGGGTGGCTTTTCAGCCCTACGTGGTTCCTGAACCCGGTGGATTTAACACAAAAGGTCCACAAGTGCCAGGGAGATGCCTGTTTTTAAAAGCAAGCAGCAGATCTCACAGAGGGCCCGCTTGAGAAGACAACACCACCCCAGTTTTAAGCCTGAGTCTCCTCGCCTGTAGACATGTGCTTGAATTTTTTCTTGAGGGGGAGCGTTGTGTGAAGGCTGAGAGAGAACAGACCGGTTCCCACACACAGCTAAGTGTGTGTTTGATCCAAAGCCCACCTAAATCTCGTGACTTAAGTGGGTTTTGTATCGTGCCTTACGCTGCTCACAAATTCTGGGACCTGGACTGGCTGCTGTCCGAAACAACGGGGGTTTTCTGGTCAGCTTGAGCGACCATCAACATCCTCCACCGACTCAGCCTGCTTTTCTCCCACTAGAACTGTCATAGCGGTAGTTTCCACAAAGGGCAATGCTAAAGGGATAAATTTAGCCTGAAAATTCCGTTTTGTTGTGCAAGTATAAGTTGATCCTTAATTATAAAGTAAGTACAGTGTAAGTGAGCACCATCACTGCCCTCCGACATCCCACCTTTTAGGAATGCTGCGTGCAGCTACGCTGAAGTAAAGCATCTTAAACACAGAGCTCACTGATGTAGCCCAGCGTTTTGAGCGTAGGAGCACTGCCCGTTACCTGCTCACCCAATGCTGTAGTAAGTAAGGTTTTAGCCATACTCTAGTATTAATTCTATTGTGCCTTAGTGCTGAGAATTTGTCCCCTTTATAGCAGTATCTCTGTTCTTGTAGTCTTCATAGACAACTGTATCTCCCCTGGTGTTCTTGTCTCTGAAACTAGTGGTTGTTGGTTGGTTGTTCAGTTGTTTGGGTTTTAAACCCACAAACTTCGGCTGATCATGACTTGAACTTTAATATAAACACAAAAATAGAGCCGGTTACTATCTGAGAGGTGTTTATTTAGTGTGCTAGTTTTTACTTAGTGTTATTTGTGTGTAGTTGACTGCTGTAAGAGAAAATGACTTTATATCACCAAGCACCTGAAGCTAAAGTAGGGGAACAGCTCTTCTGTAAAGGGGTACTGTTATTAAAATACTTCAGTATTATATGCAGTCTGTTTGTGTACATGTTCATCCCTGGTGAATGATCCCTGTGCTTTTCTTTGTGAAAGTATGTTGTGAAGTAGAAACTTGCTAGTAGAGGGTAAATATAGAAAGTGTATGGAATCCTTCACAAAATGCAGTATTTGTACTAATAATTCCTTCAGTAATGTGAGAGTGGCTGAGAAACCGAAGGTCTGTGTTTCATCAGGCAAAACCACCTTTTACTCGTGCATTATTCTTGCTTTGTTTTCTTTTCTTACATGCAGCTGACTCTAAATTCAACAGTGTTCTCTCTGTATTAACTCACCAATGTACTTGATTTAAGCAATATCGAGCAATGTGGCAACAGGAGGATGGTGTCATTTGTTGATATTGAAGGACAATGTCATCATTTTTACATGAAGACAGATTATACCTAGTGGTTTTGTTCAACTAATTTATACACAGAGTAACTCTGGGACAAAGGTCTTGGGTCAGTCTTTCCTGTAGCCAGTTCTTCACAGGGCTATTAGAGCGGCACTGATTTTGTGTATCTCTCTCAGCTTCTGTCAGCCAAACGTTACTCTTCTGTTCTTCATCTTGTTGTGAATTGCCAGATGTGAAAATGAAATGTATAAACAACGAGCCTTGTACCACCTTGGCGTTCACCTTAATAAATGAAGAGAATAATGGAAAGAAATTTAAACATCACAGATATTTAATGGTTCAAGATCTTGTTTGACTCGAAGTGAGCAAATCTGCCCAAAGACTGCTCCTAATGGTATTTATTCCATTGCCTACTGTAAAATTGCAACATTAATGGGAAAATGAGAAGAGATTTATTCTCTGAATACTTGATTTGTTTTTGTGAGAGGTTTAGGTGATGCTAGTTCAAGGTGGAAGAGACCTTTGGAGGTCATCTAGCCCAGCCTCCTGTTGGAAGCAGTGTCAGCTTGGGCTAGAGACGTCCATCTGGTGCAGCTTAAATTACTCCTTGCAACCAGGAGGTCACAGCACCTGCTACAAGAAGCTCATGATTTTATGTGTCAAAAAGCAGGGGAAAGGCACAACACTTAAGATAATCACTTCAGTCTTTCACCTATTGGAAGCCTCGTGTGAAATTTTGTATGAAAACTCACTGAGCCAAACCCATTTATTCCATGTCTTTGGTTGGAATATAAATGATCCCTATTGGACCTTTAACTCCTAAATCCATCTTTGTTACCAATTCAAGCTACATACAAAAGTATGCAGCCAGCACTGTTCAGTGTGGTAACATTGATGTAAGTCTGAGGAAGCTGAGCACCAAATCTAATTTACAGTTCTGTGTGTCACTGTCTTCTATAGGCACCTCTGCAGATATCGGTAGGATACAGTTAGCTGCTAAACCAGCAGCTAGCAGATACAACAGAGATGTTATTTGTGGTCATCCCACATCTTCACACATCTGTCTCTGTGGATTGCATTGCAATAGCATGCTAGGCAAAGGAGAGATGAGCAAAATAGGGGACAAGAATGTAGTTCCTGATGGAGGAAATTCTGTAATTCTCTAGAGGATTATTTTTATCATTTTTCCCCTTATAAATGCGTTATAAATGGAATGTGGGAAACACTATCTCATAGTTTCTCATTCATTTTTGGTGGATTAAGGTTTAATTGAGCATACCTTGGTGTCTGGAAAAGAAAAATCAGAGTATTCCCTATTTCATTTTATGTGATATTAAGCAAAGAATTTGCTGACCCATTGATAACCAGGTTTTTCCTTCCACCACGAGTATAGACGTTTCAGCAACAATGGGGAAAATGCCACGTACACAGATGTGCTGTTAATTTAACTCCCACAAGCCATTGTGAGATTGCACAGTGAAAGAAAGCTTTATCCAGTATTTGTAATTCCCCAAACATGCAGAGTACCTTCGGGGTTACAATCAGATCCTGTAATCTATCAATCAAATGGCAGTATGCTGATCTCTAACTACCAAGAAGCTGGCTGTTAATGCTTTGGGGAGAAGTGGAAATAGCTTCTAAGGCAACTACTACATACACAAGTACCTGGGTATTAAAAATCCATCTGGCACACTGTTCTATACATATGGTTCTGTGTTTGCCTAGTGATTTCCAGCACAAATATCAAGCCCTGCTTCTGCAGGGGTACAAATCGAGGGATACACTTGTTAACAAGCCTTTCTTCCCCCATTGCTTTGTGCTAAATAGGAGCAGCCAAGTTCAGCCTGACCTCGACTTTGAATCTTCTGGAGGAAACAGCCTGTGCCTCAGGCAGAGCATCTCTCTTAATTCAATGATGATAGCGCTCTTTGTGGGACATAAAAGGCGAGGCTGCTCGGCTTGCTTTGGAGGTGCAAGTGAAAGCTGGTGTTTTGCTTCCACGGAGACCTGGAGTCCTGCAGGACATCAAACTGCTGCTCTCTTTCGGCACTGCGTTCCGAAAGAAAGGTTAGGAAGAGTGGGATGAAAGGAAGAGAAGTGGCAGGCAGCAGTTACCCGTGTCACCCTCCTGTTAAAGGCTTAAGGGATTATAGCAGTGATGCTTGGATGGGGTCTTTTTAGCCTGAGTGAATCTACCCTGACTGCTCTTGTTCCACCATGGTTCTGGTCACTGCATCTCCTGTCTTTACACATTGATCTCATCTAGGAAAAAATTGCCCAAATCCCTTGTTTCACTTCATTTTCACCCAAAAGGATTTGATTTTGATGCAGAAATGTTCATGGCACATATTTAGCCTTTAAAATTCACTGGCAGCATTTTCAGCCTGCTTTGCTGACATATATTTACATTTGATTTAAAGCTGATATCATTTGATGGCACATTATAGTACAGGATTTACACAGTGCGCCAAGAAAACTGATTGTGGTGGGAGACTTTTCCAGATGACATCTCTGGACATGTAGACCCTTTGTAAACCTAGATATACACATTCAGGTAATTAATTCAGGTAACTAAGTCACTAATTTAATTGTTCCAGAACTACCAGATGATTCGCAGGGTGCCTTCGCAGAGTAAGAAGGAAGGAAGGAGCCGGCACTGCAGCCGGCGGGGCAGGTTTAGCGGGAACGGCTGAGGGGGAACTGAGGTGAGAGGTTTTTGCAGGAAGGGCCGAACAGAAAGGCATATTTCCATGGGGAATGCAGGAAGGAGAAGGACGGGCGGGCAATGTGGAAAAGCAGTGAAGGAGAAGGAGGAAAACCGACGTTTATCCATGCGGGAGGCCGGCGCTGAGGGAGGAAGGGGAAAGGCTTTCCTCATGAGGCGCTGAGGGGACGCGTTTAGGCGGGAAACGTGAGGTGGAAGATGTGAGGGGACCGGTTTGCCCTGACTGAGAGGGGAAGATTCTGTCGGGAAAGTCGAGGAATGCTGAGGAAAACAGCGAGGAATTCAAAGGGAAAGCGGGACAGGTTCTTCCAAGCGCTGGGGAGGGCCAGGCTTCCGAGCGCGGTGCTGAAGGGAGAGCGGCGGTTGTGTGAGGAGGTGCGGAAGGACGGGAAGAGGCTCCGCTGGAAGGGCTGAGGTGAGGGGGAGAGGAACGATCCGTCGGGAAGCGCCGGGTGTGTGAGGGAGGAGGGTTTGCAGGGATGTGGCCGTGGGCTGTGGGGAAAGGCTTTCCGTGGAAGGTGCTGGAGGGGAAAAGCTTTCGTGCAAAGCGTAAGGGAAGGGAGGGAAGAATTAGCTGGGAAGGGGGAAAAGCATTATTGGGAGGGCAGAAAACAGTGTTAGGAAGCACTGAGGGGAAATCACCCCTTCCTGGGCACAGTCCTGTCTTGTTTGGTGGAGTTCAGCTAGGCTAGGAGTAGAGTTGTTTCTTCAATGTCCTGATCTTGTCTTCTGTATTTGTCTTGCTCCCGGTTTTTGTATACACCAAGAGATAAGCTTTCACCTCACCAGGCTGCTGATGTGCTCTCAGTGCTCAGAAGGACCTTTCCTGGAATGAAGGAGGCAACTTCTGCATCCTGCTGAAGTCTTGGCTGCTCATCTCTCCTGTTCCATTTCTCAAGCACCGCAGGGAGTGCAGAACTCCATTATTAAGCACAACAGAAGGCATGTCTTCGTTTGTCTCGTTTTCCACAGTCCTCAGAATTGAGGGTTTTTGGGCGAGACGTGGAGATGGGATTGATTCTGGGTATCAGATCCAATTTATTTCTTCTTAGGGGTGATTCAGCTCCATCCAAATGCTGCTTAATGGGGATCTGTCGCCCATGCAATATTCGGTTGCCATCTAGTGCCGAGAAAGAAAACCGGCTGAAAGACTGTTTCTCAGGAATAAAGATGGATTGCTTCAATTACATACTTCTGAAAACAAGAATGTGGCTTACATTGACGGGAATTATACTGCTGTGAAGTATGGAAATAGGGCACATTTTGGAAGAAGATGGGAAGACCCAAGACCTTACATTGTAAATTTGGAGTAATTTCTTTCCAGATGTTGGAAAATTGCCTGTGTATTTGGGTGACACAGAGTTGTCTAGAAGCTAAATTAGGGGACTTGGAACTGGGGGTGACTAGAATGTATAACATGAGGTCACAGCAAAATACTGCATTCCTGTGTCTGTGTTTGGCATGTGAATATGTATACATGTGCCTGAGACTCGGAACCACAGAAGTACTAAGCAGAAAAGCTGCTGTTGTCTCTGCTGGCATTGTTTAACTGCTGTATTCAATGCGGAAAGAGCCACAGGCTGACACAGCAGCAGTACAAGGCTGTGGTTAGTTGCAAAGACACTACCCCAGACAGGTATGTCACCAAACATTTCCTACATCCCTATGTTCGTGCTTGATTTACATGAGGTGTGTGAATGTCTATCCAGTAAAATACTTTATATATGCCCTTGTGTACAGCAGAGTAGTACAAATTACAGCATTTAATGGCAGTCGATAGCACAGCTGGACTTTTCCTCACAGCCACTCCCTGTTGTGCACCAGCCCTAATGTAGTTTCATACGAGTGCTTAGCTGCACGGGTGGAAAACACCCGGTAGCTGGATACTCCATCAGGACAAAGTTTTATCATTGAAGGATAAGAAGCTGTGTGCTAATAGCGGGGCTGTCCTGCGGGAAATCAGAAAGTGGGTCAGGAACCGTTTGTGGAGCGCTGTTTCCACCCTCTTGCTCCGCTTAGAAAACCGGGAACGCGGTTGGATGGAAGCAAATAAATGGGGTCGCCAGGGCACAGCCGTGTGGTGGCTGTTCTCTCAGCAAGCGGCTGGCAAGTCAGGGGGTGGTTTCAGTTGCAATCAGCAAGATCCACGAATTCAGGCTAGACGATCTGCTTTTTTCGGTGCACGCTTGAGCCCGCCGGTTCGCCGGTGCTGCCCGGGAAGCTCCGGGGAAGCGGTGTTCCCTGCGAGCAGCCCGGGGCCTGCCCATCGCTGCTGGGCACAGAGGGACACGAAGCCGGTCCCGCAGCTGATCGGGGCCGGTCCGGAGGCGACGCCCGCCTCCAGCCGCTCCGCCCCGCCTCTCGCTCCGTGCGGCGGCGGCTCCCGCCCCCTGACGCCCGCTTCGCGGTTGGCCGCGGCGGGGCGGCGCGGCCCTGGTGACACGTCCCGGCACCGCCCGCCGCCGCGCTCCCGCCGCCATTTTGTGCGAGTCGCGGCCGGGGCCGAGAGGGTTTGGGAGCCGCGGGGAGGGAGCTGGGCTCTTTCCTGCGCCGCCATGCCTTCCTCGCCGCTCCGCGTGGCCGTGGTGTGCTCCAGCAACCAGAACCGTAGCATGGAGGCGCACAACATCCTCAGGTAAACAGAGCCTGCCCGACCGCCCTCCTTCCTCCGGCCGGCGGCGGCGGCGTGGCCTGATCCGCTGCTGCCGGGCCCCGCGACTACGTCGTAAGCCACTCCGGCCGCCTTCCTTTTCGGGCTGCCCTTCCGGACCGTATCGGAGCCGCCTCCTTGGCCCCTCTGGTGCGGACGCTGGCTGCTGTGCCTGCACTGGAGCCGGGCTCGAGTGGGCTGTCGGAGCAGTGGGGCGCCTCGCCGGCTGCGGCCCGAGCGTGTGCTCGGGCCCCGCGCCTGGCCCTGCTGGTCCCATGGGCTTGGGGACTTAGTCCTGTTTACGTTCGGCCTCCTCCGGACCCTGCTCCAGGTTGGGTTCGCCGGGGGGGGGGGGCGGGGCCGGGCCGGGCCGGGCCGTGGGCTCTGCTCCACCGCCGCTGGCACAACTCCAGATCCAGCGTTGCAAAACACGAGCTGGGGAATTGGACAGGCGCAGAGCAGGCCTCGTGTTTCGGCATCTGGAAACAAGCGTTTAGCTCATCGTACTGAATGTCTTCCAGGTTATGAGGGTTCATCTGTTTAGCACTACAAGTATTTTCAGCTTGGCGGAGCTCAAAAGAGGGGAGGCTGGGGACAGACTGATGGACAGGAGAGACCTAAACCTTGTTCTTAAACCTTCCATATACACTGAAGGAACACGGTGAAGATGTTCTGATTTTGTTACAGTTACGCAGCATACCATTCACATTAGGCGATACACAGTGCTAGCATAGTAAGCTCAACCACTGCGTGTAAATTGTGTGCTATATTAAAATAAAACCAGCAGCCTTGAAAGGAATAAATAACAGAAGCATCTGGTTTGGCAGCCATTTTACTGTGAGCCGCGTATGATGCTGTTAATGCTTAAACTTGGCATCAGATGTTACATGTGGCGGTTCGTTGAAAACACAGTGTTACCAGTGGCTCTTTTGGGGGGGAGAAGGGTGCTATTTTTCTGTTGGTTTCTTTCTGCTAATAATACTGGAGCTGAGTTTTAACCAGAACCTGAGTACTAAGGGCAAAATTACATTTACTTCTAATGTCTGGCCTTTTTCTTCCTCTGTTTTTGCAGAAGTAATAAATCACTTCCGGTGTGACTGTTTCCCTGGCAAATGTGACAGGGAAATGTGGTGGTGTTTTTTAAAAGTCTCTTCTTCCGTAGGACTTTAATTAAAAGTAGCAAAACATTTGCATTCAGAAAATTTTTATTTTGAGTGACATCCTATGTAATTATAGCAACAATAGCATAAATAGCAAAACAGAGATGAATTGCACTTCTAAAGAAATAACTAGCCCACACAATGAGAATGGTCATTTGCCAGTGAATCTCTGGGAAAGGCAGGCTTTGAGCCAATGCAGGCTTCAATTCAGGGTAATCTCTTGCTCTATGTTGCACTGCAGTTGGAAGGAACACTATTAAGGAGGAAGAAGAGTTAAGAAGAAATGAATCTTAAAGGTATTTTTCAACAGATTACAAGACTTTAAAAGATAAAAGTCCTATAGAACTGCAGGTGACTTTGGAAACAGTCTGGAGTGCAATCTTCAGTGTGAGCATCTTAATGAACATTTATAAACAGGCTACACATTGGAAAGCACTAGGGTGTTGCAGAAATATTTTATATAGGCTTTTATTTTTGCACATATTTATGCTAGGGTATGTATAAAAATCAATATTTTTGATGAAGTGATTGTGTTGAGTCTTTTACATTTCTGTAATGCTTTACGCCAGGTTTCAGAATTAACTCATCTGGTCTATTCAGTGTTTTAATGAATTACAAGTTTTAGTGAAGCCAGAGTTTTCTGTAGAATTTTTACAGTAACTGTGCTTAATCCATTCCTCAGTTCACAGAGAAAAATACTTAGCAGTAAGGTGAGCTTATTTTACTTTCCTGATGTTAGGCCTACCTAATGCCTACTAAAAGTTGCATGAATTGGATGCTAATGCCTTTTAAAGCAAAAATGGTCTTGCAGAAATGCCTGAATTTTAACTTCTTACCCATTTATAAAATACCAAATTTAGCCGTCTACATAGAACATCCAGGTGAAATGTTCCACTTACCTGATAGGCATCTCTTGGAAGTACCTGCAGTCCATCACTTCTTGCTTTTATGCTTCTTGGTAGTTTATCCTCTTGAATGTACAAACTTACCAACAGGCTTGATTTAACATCTTGATGAATTTACATTTTACAGCGTCCTTATGGTCTTTCTCCTTTAGGCTCAGAAAAGCAAACCTGTAATACTTTCTTCACACACTTCAGCAGTTTGGGGGGTGATGGTGTGTGTTTAGGTTTATTTTTCTTTCTTTCAGCATACCAGATGATAAGAGTTGCTTTTTTTTGGACACTTACAAACTTTTTGTCCTTCTAAATTGCAGTGGTTCGTTCTAGTAATGAGTCTCATTTCCAGCCTGAATTTCTCACTCATCCTTTCTGTACTTGATACCTCCCTGTGGCCACTTGTGCCTGTGGAAAACAAGCGCATGTGTTGGATCTCTTTCATGTCTTCCAATTTCTGATGTTATCTTGGTTCAGTAGTTCCCATGTGCTTTGTAGTGTGTTTACATATTTTTCTAATTAACCAGGTTTTAAACATTTCATTCTAATCTTCCAACAGAATTCAACTGAAGGTCTTTTGAAGTTTGTTGGTAGTACTGTTACCATCACCATAGGGGTATTTTGAGACATTAAAGTACAGGGAAAAGAGGAAAAGCTGTAAGGACTATGTGGAAAGGCATAAACCTTCCCTTTTTAAAAGCTGTCAAACTGGATGTCTGTCTGTAACTAGTCCCTAGGTTGAATCTTACTCGCCCAACATTGCTTGCTTTTATAAGTGTAATTGTAATCTGTGTATAGGTTTTGGGGATTTTTTAGCTATAGATTATGCAGATTTAGGCCACAGTTCCTCAAGCATAGAGGAAGGTGGAATGCTAACAATTCTCATTACCAATCTTTATTATACATCAACTTTGACATTTCTGGTTGTGTATATTTATTTGGTATCACACTGATGGCCTTTAAAAAGAAGTTATCATTTCAGACTCTCCCAGTGTATAGGAGGTGCTCTGGTAACTGTATTTTTAGGCTCTTAAGGTATAGATACAGTATCTCAGTCTTCTGAGTTCAGGCTGTGTGTGTTACTACTGATAATGAAAACATGAAGGGTACAGATACATGCTCAATATATATTAATGTTCCTTTGTTTTAGGGAATGAAGCGTGTTAAGAAATTAGGAGTGTGAATAGGAGATCTGTAGTGACAGCAACTAGATTTAAATACTGAAGTCCTCGTAGCTGAAAGTTGTATTTCATATTGGTGCCAGGATTTGTAGTTCAACACTGACCACATAAGTTAAGTTGCAGCCCCCACAGTTGACGTAAGTCACTAGACAGCTTCTCTGCTGACGTTATCTGTCAGCAGCTGAATGCAGTGAGGTATTGGAATTTGTATTCCTTAATTTTAGAAACATTAAATTGTATTAATAAACCCTCAAGAAGAAGGAAATGTTTTAACGCTTCTATATATTAAAGCACTTCCATTTGACAGCTTATCAGTGATAATGCAAATTACAGCAAGGTCTTAATGTTTTAAAGATTTCATAGTCAAAATCAGTTAGCAGTGCTCCTGTTCCTGCTGTTCAATACTGTAGTTTTTTTTTGGGGGGGGGTTGTTTCTTTGGTTTGGGTTTGTTTTTTTTACATTGGTAACACAAGGTATTTTTGAAGGGGTCTGTGGTGAGAGGGGATTGATGCCAGATATTTTCCTGCTACATGTTATAGAAGGTGATGTATTAAAATTAATGATTTGACCTGAAAATCTTCTCCCCTCCCAGCTTTGGTGGTCCTGCAGGGTTTACTGCATTTTAGTGTCTAGTAATAGTTATTACTGGCTATTATAAAAAGAGAAGCAGTTCTGTCATGTGTTAGTGCTTTGTTAGTGTAGTCCTGTGTTGAGCTCTGCTTTCAGCAGCAGTTGCTTCCTACATAGAATCATAGAAAAGTCAGGGTTGAAAAGGACCTTAAGATCATCACGTTCCAACCCCCCTGCCATGGGCAGGGACACCTCACAGTAAACCATGTCACCCAAGGCCTCGTCCAGCCTGGTCTTGAACACTGCCAGGGACGGAGCATTCCCAGCCTCCCTGGGTAACCCATTCCAGTGCCTCACCACCCTAACAGGAAAGAATTTCCTCCTTATATCCAATCTAAACTTCCCCTGTTTAACCTGTTACCCCTTGTCCTGTCACTACAGTCCCTAATGAAGAGTCCCTCCCCAGCATCCCTATAGGCCCCCTTCAGATACTGGAAGGCTGCTCTGAGGTCTCCACGCAGCCTTCTCTTCTCCAGGCTGAGCAGCCCCATCTTTCTCAACCTATCTTCATACGGGAGGTGCTCCAGTCCCCTGATCATCCTCGTGGCCTCCTCTGGAGTTGTTCCAACAGTTCTATGTCCCTTTTGTGTTAAGGACACCAGAACTGCACACAATACTCCAGGTGAGGTCTCACAAGAGCAGAGTAAAGGGGCAGGATCACCTCCTTTGACCTCCTGGTCACGCTCCTTTTGATGCAGCCCAGGTTACAGTTGCTTTCTGGGCTGTGAACGCACACTGAAGCCTGCTCATGTTCATTTTCTCATCCACCAACACCCCCAAGTCCTTCTCTGCAGGGCTGCTCTGAATCTCTTCTCTGCCCAACCTGTAGCTGTGCCTGGGATTGCTCTGACCCAGGTGTAGGACCTTGCACTTGGCATGGTTAAACTTCATGAGGTTGGCATCAGCCCACCTCACAAGCATGTCAAGGTCCCTCTGGATGGCATTCCTTCCCTCCAGGATATCAACTGAACCACACAGCTCGGTGTCATTGGCAGACTTGCTGAGGGCGCACTCAATCCCACTGTCCATGTCAGCGACGAAGATGTTGAACAAGACCGGTCTCAACACCGATCCCTGAGGGACACCACTCGTTACTGGTTTCCAGCCGGACCTTGAGCCACTGACCACAACTCTTTGTGTGTGGCCATCCAGCCAGTTCTTTATCCACCGAGTGGTCCATCCATCAAATTGATGTCTCTCCAATGTAGAGACAAGGATGTCATGTGGGACAGTGTCGAACACTTTGCACAAGTCCAGGTAGATGATATCAACTGCTCTACCCCTGTCCATCAGTTCCACAGCCCCATCATAGAAGGCCACCAAATTGGTCAGGCAGGATTCTCCCTTAGTGAAGCCATGCTGGCTGTCACCAAGCACCTTGTTTTTCATGTGCCTTAGCATGCCTTCCAGGAGGATCTGCTCCAGGATTTTGCCAGGCACGGAGGTGAGACTGACTGGTCTGTAATTCCCTGGGTCATCCGTTTTCCAATGGAAAGAAAGCACATCAGAAGCACTATTTGCTGTGAGCTGTGAGATTCTTTGGAGGGTAATGCAGTGACTGTTTACAGGTTCTTCAGTTAAAAGTCTATAAACTCATGAGCATGTGAGTAGTGCATGTGATCACATTGCAGTGAGGTGAGCATACCTGCTGAAAATGAGATCTGTGTACTGGCTTGTATTTACTCACTATGTTGATAGTTTACACACATTGGTCTTTATCATGTTAATAGAAACACATTCCCAGAATCTTACAGCATTTACAGGTCAGTGTTCAAGCTTCACATTTTCAGGAGTCAGTGCTAGGACAGGATAGCAGTATATCTTACCCTTTACTCTTTGTAGTAAAGTTGATGCTCATTATTTTCTGTCTTCTGAATAGTTTTTGCTAGGCCAAGAGGGAATACCACATAAACATTGTCTTGTAGAAAATATTCATTGTTAAAGGCTGTGTGCCACATGACAACAGATACTTAATGACTCACTAAACTAGATCTGTCCAGCTGCTTAATAAGAACAGGCTCTGTTGAATATGGTTCTGTGCGTTCTTCCCTCTCCTCCGCCCCCAACTGTTGCAAGAAATGTGTTGAAACATCTTCAGAATATTTCATAATAGTACAGCTAGTGCATAAATAGTGTAAAAGCTGCACCCTGGCACCTGCTGGTGTCAAAGCATGAAATTCCACATGAGAAATGCATATTGATCAATTTGAAATAGCAGTATCTTACCACTGCAGTTTCTTCTGTGCATGTTGTGGCTCTTTCCATGTCTACACAAGCAGTAGAATAAAAACTTCAGTCTGGAAGTATTGCAGGGAAAATAAATGGAATTTTTTTGATGAGGGTTAGGGGCTGTGGGTTGTGTTTTTTCATTTAACATTGCTTGCTCTATTCAGTCTCTGCTAAATTACTCAAAGTGTGAGTCTAAAAAAATGAGATTAAACTGTGGTCCTGACCTGTTTTAGAACTTAGATTATCATTACAAAGCCAGATGTTTTTTAACATGTAATTTTGTCCATTAGGCCACCAGAAATAAGTATAGTTTTTGTCTGTTAAAAAACATTACGATGTTTGTTAAATAATATTGCTGAAGGATTTGTTGAGGGTCAAATAAATGTTTATAGGTTAATCAAAAATTTTGTCATTATCCTTAAAGTCAGGCAGGTTTCTGCCTCTTTTTTTAATTATAATTATTAAACACACAGTTGTTCATAAGAATGGAATGAAGCTCTCCCTGGTGTTAGCTACCAGCCCCACTTCTGTAAATGCATGGCATATTTTTCAGTCCACTTGAGGTACACAAATATTTGTACTTGGCTAATTAGGTGACATTAGAGGTAGTTTTGGCAACATAGTGAGGGGAATAATGTAGTTAGTCCAGCAATTTAGCAGAATAATTAAGTATTGAGCAGTTGGTATTGTTACTTTCTTCTATCAGGACAAAAACATCACTGCCTATAGTATTATTGTCTGAGAGTGAATAGAGAAAACATGCTTGTTGCAAATCCAAGATGCCTGAAAGCAAAAAAGAAATAACCAAAACTCTATGTACAGTAAGTCTAAGAAAATTTAATATTTTATGTAAGTTTTCTTCAGAAATGGTGTGTGAGTTTCAGTTGTAACTGCAAAGAAATGTGCACACTGGGTACAATTGGCAACTTAGCTGACGAGTTGCCCATTTGTTTGATTGTGACTTGGCTGATTGCTAAGAGGTGTATTTAAAATTCAGTCTGTGTTTTTTCAGCACTTTGGTGTTTAAAGTCCATCCACTCTAATTGCCTTTTCTCTCCCCCTTTCCCTTTCTGTCTTCCAGCAAACGAGGATTCAGCGTCCGATCCTTTGGAACAGGGACTCATGTGAAACTGCCAGGACCAGCACCGGACAAGCCGAATGTTTATGATTTCAAAACAACATATGATCAGATGTACAATGATCTGCTTAGGAAAGACAAAGAACTGTATCCCTGTGGCGTGGCCTCTTTAAAAAATCCAATATGGTTCATCCTTGAAAGGTGTAATTCATTATTTGGCATTATGCATTAGGAATATATAGTTGCTTGACTGGAGAACTTAAAATGTTTTAAGTTTATAGGAGGTTTTTTTTCTTTTTTTCCTTACAATGGGCCTCTAGTGCTCCCTTGTAAATTGCTATTGAGTTACAATGCACACATTCAGAATGCTCTTTTGTAGTGTGTTACCATGTTTAGCTCTTGAATGAAAGCACATTAATACCATCACAGATTGTTCATTACCTCCATTGCACTGTGGATCGTATTTTCTCAGTGCAAAGACTGCCCTGATACGGATATGTGAAGAGCGACCACCTTGCCATTAGTGTTGTATTTAGCTCAAACTGCCAGGTAAGGTTTCCTGTATACTCTTTTCTGGGAAAGAGGATACTTTCATTAAAGAGCTCACCCTTCTCACTGAGAATTTCTTGATACATTTTTTGATCGGTGCACTGAAAAAAAATCCCTATAGAATATGATAAAGAATGGGCATAGGAGAGCTCAATAACATGTTTAATCCTGACCAGCAGAAGTGATCAAGGTTATTCACACTACTTAAACCCATGGCGTCCAGCTGCGTGTTTTGCAGTTGAATGCTAAAAAAAAAAAAAATCAAAAAATCAAAAAATTCTAAAAATCAACTTGAATTTTCATTTGGTTTTAAGAAAACCCACAGACCCACAACTTGGGGAAACTCGTTCTGGGTACTCTTTCCTCAACAAGGGATCCGATTTTAATTTTTTAGTGTTAAATATGAAGGAGAAAACTTGCCCAAAATAAGGGATTTGGGATATGCTGAATTTATACTTAAAAGATAGAAACCCTTTAGAGAAAGAATCCCAGAAATGAATGTAGGTAGTTTAATAGAGCAGTCTGTGCACTTCTTAGTGCTGCAAGGTTTTTCCCTAAAATCTCGGGTATGGCCATCTGGAGATCCAACAGGAATGGTTTAAATATCTTCATTGTGCTCAGATAGCCCAGTTTTCTCACATGGTTTTGGGGAGAAAAAAAATGGAGTAAGACTAAACAGGTTATCAGAGCCTCGAAAACTTGGCACGTGGTAGAAACATTCAAGCTGTTACCTAAGGAGTCGGCAAACCCAGGAACTTTTGGGAAGCTAACTGTACAGTTGTTGCGTAGCACACATGATATTGCGGCTTACTACAACAGCAAACTGTTGTATCTGCTGACCAGAAATAGAGCTCCTGATACTCCAAGGGTGGTGGAGGGTTTTCCACTTGGCATCAAAAGGCTCCTGTTAAGGAGGGCTGGGCTGTTTGATTAAAGCTGTAGAGCACAATGAGAACTGGTAGAACATTGCAGTACCTTTCTGCATGGTGTTCCACACAAATAGTGTCCCTTGCAAGCTGTTTGATTCCTAATACCTAGGTAGAAGTCTTTTTAAACAGAAAATCAAAATGTAAGGTGTAGTCTTAATGAATCCCTTGTGATGTGCGGGGGTGTTTGGGGTTTTTTATCCCTCTGCCTACAAAGAAAAGGAAAACCTTGCAAACCCATCTTGGTCAAAAAAGAATTGCTTCAAGATAAAATTATTTGAATTGAGAAGTAATTTTGACAAGTGCTAAAGACTTGTAAATTCCTTGTTGCATTCCTCATTGCTGCTGTACTGAATACAGCGATGCTTTGAGAGAAAACCATCAGAAAAACTACCTACTCCTTCCCCTTTCAGCATATTTTGGAGTTACCATTTTTGTTCTGCTCCATGCTGGACATATGTATATGCAGTGTTACAGTTAAACCTTTTCTCAAGATAAAAGAAAGCAAGTTCAAACAATAGCTGTTCAAGGGGAAACGGGGCAGGAAGAACTGCCTCTACATCTTAGCGTTTTTGATTCTCAGATAATATAAGTTAAGGTTTCCAGAGTCAAGACTCTCAGCACAGAAAGCAGCTCCATTGCCAGAAACAGGTTTTGAGGGTAAATACTTCTATGGTAACCAGACCCAGGCCTACTCTCATCAGGGGGTTGTGGGGTAATCTTTTGTGAACCAGGGTCGTGGGGACTCTTCAGGGTTTTGGGTGAGCATTCCTTTCTTGGAGGTGATGGGCAATGCAAGTGCTACTTGCTGCTGAAGGGTGTGAGGGTCTGCTCTTCTGATGGGCTCTGAGTGGGATGGAGAAACAAAAGAACGTGTGGTTTTCTCATACAGTTTAGCAGCTTGTTCTGTTCCCCACCCTTGCTTCCATCAGCTCAGTGAGATGACTCAGTTGTAGCCCTTCCATGGGGTTTGAAATAGTATTTCTGGGTGACAGCTGCCTGTGCTCCCATAATTGCAGTGGAAGTGCCTCAGGAGTGATGTCCTTCTTCCAGTTCTGTGTGCCAGTAGGGGCCTAAAGATGCTAGGTACTCCACAAAGTTGTGGCTGTGAGAAGCTTTGAATGTTTTCTGGCCAGCCAAATGAATGACCCCCTGTTGTGGAAACCAGTAGTCTCTAACAGAAAGGAGCTTCTGCGGTATTGAGCATAAGTCAGGGCAAAGTTAGGGGGAAAAGATCCATTGGAACTCCCCTATTCACTTGTGGAAATGGGGGAGAACTTAAAAATCCCACTCCAGAGAGACTAAAAGCACCTTCATTGCAGTAATTAGTGAAATACAAGCTGACATATCTTGAAGGCATATGTTGAATTTCAGATGCAGAGGAATAAGGGATTAATGGAGCCAGGCATACAGATTCAGTTGAGTAGGTGGTTGCAGTGTATCTAAAATGGAATTACTTAAGCAATTTAAGATGTGGTAGTTAAGCCTTACAGTTAAAATAAGTATCCACATCTACCACTGCATCTTTAGAATACAGCGTTTAAATTCCCCAAGTCCTAATAGAGGGCTGTGACAAAGCCATTTAAGGCTGTTCTGAATGTGACTTCTGGATGCTTTTAAAGTCCTCCTTTTTTTTATTTCTGTATCAGCAGAGGGCTCTACTACTCACCTGCAGGAGACATGACCACACTGTGTGGTTATCTCTGGAGTTCTGTGTGCATAGTACAGATACACTACATTCTATTTGCATGTGTAACTGGACCTCTCAAAGACAGGCCACTGTGAACACTTGCCTCTTAAAGCTGTCTGAAGGATTTTAAGGACTTGGTTCTAGTTATATGGTGGGGACTTTAAAGGTTAAACAAAAATAGAGGAAAAACTGGTGAACTTTGCCTTCAAGTGAATGCAAAAACTAGTCAGGGATGGAACTTCCTAAATGCCACCTTAAAACTGCAGCAGCAGTTGCATTTATCCTCAGGGACGGGAGCTGTTCAAATGGAAATCTGTTCAGAATTCTGCAGCAGGAGGTGCTGGATTCTTTATCAACATTAACTAACTTAATGATTGATTGCTTCTATCCCTTTCTCAATACTGATCAATCTGTGACCCTCAGCTGGAAGATCCCAAGTGATTTCCATAGGGAGGGGGTTTTGTTAGGATTTGTAGGCAGCCTACCTCTGCAAGCTTGGCCTCCTCCTCTGGTTCCTACTCTTTTTAATTGGCCTCCTCTTTTTTAATTTCACCTGATCTCTTAACTGTAGATACAATTCCAGTTTTAGCTCCATAGTTACATGATGATACAAAATTGGAGGGAGGGGGTTGGAACATGCCTCCAGAAGTTACTAAAGGTGTGCTTCAGTTAGCATGAAAATGTTTGGGAAATGAAGAAGCAAAACTGGCTTGGTACATCTCAGTCGGTGTCTAGGTGATTCAGATCTAGTTTTCTCTGTGTGAACTCCATGTTTAAGCTGGATGGCCATATGGGAATGTTTGTGCTATTGCTGATGTGTGGTGGTTGGTTGGTTGGCTTTTTTAATAGTACCTTTCACATTCAGGGCAAGTGGAACCATTTTTCTCTGCCATATACAGACCTCTTTGCCAGGAAATACTCATTTGCAATGTTGCATAGCATTATGGTTTTCCCATAGCTGATGCTTATCCCTGGTTTATCCCCGTCTTCCATCTGCCTAAGAAGATAATGCTTTATTAACTGATGTGTTGTGGTAGAACATCAGTAGAGGAAAATGTCTTGGCTGTGGAGAAAGCGTTGGCTTGAGGGACTGTGCTTAAGGGACTGTATACAGGAGTTCCAGAATTGAGGGGAGTGGGAATCTGAAGTATGTTCTGATGCACAGGACCTTCACCAGGTTTAGGTGAACAAAATGGGAATCTGTATTTCCCTACAGAAGAAGAGGAAGGCCAACAGAAGTGTATCATTGAACTAGGTTGGCCTTGCTATAGAACTGTGTAGGAGAGAGATTCTGTGCCTTTCCCAAAACTTTTCAGTCCTACTTGAGACACCATCTTCTGTGCCCATGAAGAGGAATAAACACAAAGAGGATTAGGACTAGCTGAGATGAGGGGGCACCCAGCAGCAGTGAGACTGTAGAGAGGAATAATTTTTCTGTCTTTGTAGGGTGGTGATGAAGGAGGATCTTTTGGTGCTGAAATCTTGGTCAGGCACCACTGCAGTTAGGTTTTTCTTGCAGAGAAACTGCATTTCCTGTCTTGGAGCCAAGCTTAGCTTCTAGCAACAGTTGGAGTATTAAGTCATCTCTTCCAGAAGGTTTCCTCTGCTTTCCCTTAACATCCACTTCACATCTCTTAAGTTCTTTGGTTATGTAAGATCTTTCTTCCATTGGGCTTAGACTTTCATTTCCTTAAGAGGGTTGTAGTATCAAATAAGATCTTGGATCTTGCTTCTTGGTTGTGCTTTTTCACTTTCAGAAAGTGGCATAAGATACTGATACCAGATGATTCATGGCCCGAGCTAATGAGCACAGGCACTGATGCAGAAAAGCTGTTGGAAGGAAAGTGGGCAGTGACAGGAATATCCTGCTCTAAACCACTTCCCAGTTTCTTTTGAACACCATTTGTTTGTTGCAGAAACTTCTGCCACCTGTAACAAAAGCTCTAGGATCCATAATACTTGAGTAGTAATTCCTGACATTC